AAGAAAGAAAGTTGGAAGCAAGAAAGCAGAAGAAAGCATTACAACTTCAAAAGGCACTGGCAACAAAGGAGAAGAAGCAGAAGAAAGTTGCGGAAAAGAAGCAATGAAAGATCTGCATTTTTATGATTTTTACTCTCTTGATGTTTTAAATTAAATTTAGCTATAGGCTACCAATTTTATTTTTCATGCAAAAAACGAAAAAAATAATTTTTGATGTAAGATCATTATCTTTATTTGTTGGTTTCTGAGATGGTTGTAATTTTCTTTCACTTATCCGCCATTATAGGGCTACCATCTTAGGAACCGCTTATTCAACTGCTTGATGCCAGTGGGTTGGTGGAGCGTTTCCATTATCGGTGTATTAAAGATGTTTCTGCAGTCTTCTCTTCAGTTTGCTATTATTGATTTGACAACATTGGCCAAGCTACACCGCTCAGTTTAGTCCCGGTTAATAATGTTTTGTAGCGTTGAGTTGGAGTACCCCCAAGTTCCAAAGTATTGCGTATCTTGCACGTTTCACATGTCAAATTTCAAAGACCTTGAAGTTGTGATCGGAGGTAAACTCTAGTAAGAATATTTAACCCAAAGCACTGGTAAAGAATACAATCTTGGAAGAAATGAATCCTTTAACATGATAACTATTAGTTAGCATAACAATCAGTTATCTTTCCTTTGAAGCAATTGGAGCAACAAATAATCTAACGTTGATATTTAAACGAGTATAGATGGTTTGGGCTCGCAGGCAAACAACTTCTAAAAAAAAATACTTTATTCAAGCTTGAAACATGTTTTTTTTATCATTGATTTGGATCGATTCAGATTCATGTACGGATTTTGATTCAACCTCAACACAGTGTACGGATTTCGATTTAAAATTGTACGGATTTTGATTCAATCGTATAACGCTGTACGGATTTTGATTCAAGACATGTGTAATTTAAATACTTTTTTTCTAATAATTAAAGGTAATTTTAAGACCTGGTGTTTGCAAATAATGGTATAATAAAGATAAATGTATAGGAAAAAGATGTGATACAGAGAATATTATGATGGCATTATTTTATATTGGACGTTAACGATTCTCTCGTGCTTAGGTAAACGGATTTTGGTCCCGCACGGTACAGCTTAAAATTAAATGGCAGAAGATTTTAAGCGATCGTAAAAATTCAGATTTTTTTTCTGCGTGACATTGCTTAATTTATCTATCACTCCCACTCACTTAAAGCCTGAATTTTAACTGTCGTGTAAAATCTCCTTTCGTTGAATTTTGAGCTTTAGTTGGCGTAAACATCAAAATTAATTACAATCTTTTATACACAGCAAAACATAAATTTTGATATTACATCCAAGAGGATGCACTTCAATCATGTCAAAAATCTTATGTAATTTTTATGGCCACAACAATAAACAAATGCAGTAAAAGCAGCGTAATGTCAGTTCATGCACTGTATTAATGATAATTTTGTCCTTTTTGGCAAGTAATATTATACCATATTTTTGACACGATTTAAGTGCATCCTCTTTAATCGATGTCAATTATACAAGGTCTGGTCCAACCGGCTTATTGGTATTAGTGAAATGTGGAAATGTTTAGTGGTGTTTGTATTTCATCGCAATGTTTATCTTTTTATACGAAACAGCTGTTTTCTGTGACGACACGTCTGCCATTCGCAGTATGGAATATTGTGCTGCCGTGACATCGTCGCTTGTTCAGCAATGTTTATAACATTTTTGCTTCTAACACCAGCAAGCTGTCTCTTGTTCCAGACCTTGTATGATTGACATAGCTCTTTGATGTGATATTAAAATAATTTTTTTGCTGTATACAATATTATAGATTTATGCGATGTTGTGAGGGGGACGACTCTATCTACGATGCAGAAAATATTGCGTTTTGCTGTATCTAGCTGATCGCACGCTGAGTAGATAGAAAGAAGATTGATGACGATACTGAAGATTTCCTGCAAAAAGATGATGTGCGATGCAAGTAGATGCTACAAATGAAAGAAGATTTTTCGAAGATTGATTCGCTAGTGTGAGCTATTTTGAGCATCTAGAATTGAGATTTAGATGTGTCGCCCCCCTCGCGATGTTGCGCAACTGTGTTTGATTGAATTGATTTTCTCGTCTCTTTCAACTGATTCTTATGTCATGCCGCTTGCATGTGTCATAGCAATGGGCGATCTTGGATCGGAACACAAAAGATCGATTCTTTTGGTTCGATTAATCGATTTTTTGAATCGATCTCAAACACGACAAAAAATGATTGGATCGATCCTTTTCACTCGATTTTTGTTTCGATCCAACAAAAAAAAAAAATTCAGTGCATTTTATTTGCAATTTAATATGTACCTGGAGTCTTCAGCTCACGTTCGGGCAGTTAAAATTGTGTCTGAGCAGATCTATGGTACCGAAAGAGTATACGATGGTTGCACACATCTGTCCCCCACCAAAACCTACCTACAAAAATCTACATATGTACAAACATTCACTTCTTATGACATATTTCAGGTTCATCAGTCCTCTGCTATGTCAAAACTGGATCGCCATATGGGGCATATCGGCAGAATCACAAAATTTATTGCATCAGCCTGTTTCCCACATTCTTTCGATCTTTTTCGATGATGGGAAAAAATCCGTAGAGTATATCCCCATGTAAACCCCATTGCTCGAGACTATTTATCAAGAATGGTAAGAAGTGTTCCGTCAAAGAGGCAATTCCTCAAAACTGGTGAAACCACACAGAATCGATATCGGCTCAATGCAAAACCCATGGCTCAATTAGCTTTCTTGGTATACCTTTCGGATGAGTTTTGGGATATTTGAATTAAGTACTCTCCGTACTAACCTGCTTTTACACTCCGACCATCTAATTGTTTAGTTTCATATGTTAATCTTTCGTTTTTTAAATTACTTACCTAATCAAGAATCCTGAGCAAAAACTTCCACATGTCAAATGAAATCAAAATAGTCATTTACTATATTCTGACGTAGACCATCAGGTAAAGAGTTCAATCCGCGGTACACGGTAAAGACCGTAAAGCAAGGAGGTGGTAGCATCATGGTTTGGAGCTGTTTTTGGTATGGAGTAGGTCTCATTTTTCGTATTAATTCCATCATGACCAGATTTGAATACAAAGAAATCATGGAGAAGGTTATGCTCCCTTATGTAGAAGAGAAAATGCCTCTTATATGGCATTTTCAGCAAGACAACGATCTGAAACACACTTCTAAGTATGTAAAGGAATGGTTTCGTGCAAACAAAGTGTCGGTTATTTCATGACCCAGCCAATCTCCTGACATCAACCCTATTGAAAATGTATGGAACGAGCTTAAAAGAAAGTAATCTGGTCAAGCATTTTGAAATAAGGATCAACTATGGACCACAGTTCAGAAAGAGTGGTATATTATACAAAAGGAAACTTTTCAGTGCTTGGTTGAGTCAATGCCAAGAAGATTGAACAAGGTTTTACTTAACAAAGGAGGGCACAGCGGTTACTAAGCGTCATTAGTCTAATAGAACTTATATGACTATTTTCAAGCATTCTATATTATAGTTTTATGCAACACACCTATTTCACTGACCAGGCATATTTTATATTAAATTCTAATGCAATTACTTAATTTTTATTACACTATCAAATGCTTAACTTTAAAGTCGAATAAAATGAAGTAGAATGAACATAACCTAAAATTTCGCATTTATTTTGCCTACATATATTTTAATGACCAGCAGTGATTTATGTTCCACTCACAACATTTACTGCGTGTGTACCACACTTTTTATTTCTAAATGATATCAATCATCACCAGGGTTGCTTCCACTCACTAGCTATAAAAACTGTTTTTCGGAATTATGCAATCATTAGATGACATAAAGATGTGTTGTACTTATAAGTAACAAGAAGAGGATGTAAAGCATATGTTTGACTCATAAAACCTGGCAATTTCGCTTTCAGAGCGTCACAATCAGCGATCTTATGATTCGTGAGCGTTCACTCAGAGTGAGCGCTCACGAGTCGTAAAATCGCTGATTGTGGTGCACTGAAAACAATATTGACATATTTTATGTGTCAAACATATACTTCACGACCTCTTCTTGTAGCTTACAAGTTTTAATTATCATTATACCATCTCATGATTTCATAATTCCGAATAAAATTTTTTTATAGCAAGTGGTGGAAGTAACCCTGATCATCACACTAAAAATAGTAATAGGTGAAATGTCATAACAAGATAGCTTATGTAATGTAACATCAACTCTAGACTGAACTTGGCACCAACTTTTCTATGATCCGTTTTTTGTGCCATTTTGAAGAGTGAATCGATTCAAAATGATTGATTAATTCGGTCAATCGATTATTTTCAAAAAAATGAATCGATTCACTAAGATGGATTCTTTCCTCAAGATCGCCCAATGCTAATGTGTCGGTCTCAGGGCACTGAAATTTACATGACTTTTCGTAGTGTGTGATTATGCGCTAATCAAGCAATGGAATTAATGACCGTATAGTCAGTTAATGTCTGACATATCATAACGGGTGCCAAGGGTTCGATTCCCCATTCGGTAAAAGGTTGTAAAATGTTACATAATAAGCTTGTGCGGTCTACACACTTGGATTATTTTACAGGAGTCAGTATTTCTTACTGGATTTTTGAGATGCTGGAAAAGTCGGTAAAAATTCAATTTACAGTTATCCGTAAGGAATCATTTCAATCGACAAAATTTATTTTCTATCATTTAATGGGATTAACATAACTATGTCTGTATAAGTTCAGATTTTGTTTTTCTATTTTTTTTCATTTTTCACAGATTTTTAAACCTTTACTGAAAAGTTCCACGATTCAAATACCCTGTAATACCTTACTGACTGGATTAGTGTGTATTTCCTTACTGAAACAAAATCAAATTGATAACATATACATAGAATCAGTTGGAACGTAAAAGTCAGTTGAACCAATTGGGAAGTAAACCACAGTTTACACTAATCCCTCCGGTACCACCCACCGCTGTTTCTCGGCTTTCCTTCAACCAATTATACTGATTTTTAGTATGTGATTAGTGTCAACCATAAACTAGTTATCTACATAAAATCAGCTCAAATGGTTGAACGACAACCGAGAAATAGCGGTGGTTGGACGGTACCACCCATCGCAAGAATGGAAGGATTACTGTAGTCATATTTATTTACTCTGCTCGTTTTTGGAACATTTTGAAGATTGTCTTCAGTCGGTTCAGAAGTGTGTTGGGTGCAAATGGGGCCAAATTTGATTTGTATTCTATCATTTGCTGCTCTGGCAGTATCAGCTGATGCGGGGTTTTTCACCAACACTCCCCCGGTGGATTACCATGCGAGAAAGTCACTAAAAGGTTAGTTGATTATTTGATTCAAAACCACCGAAAGTAAGCATAAATCGGTTTCAGACTGTCATTCAAGATATTTTCGCAGATCAGATTATGATATAATGCCAATTTACAGAGGACAATTGGTTCATATTGGAGAATTCCTACACATGGTAAAGAATATATTATTGATAAACAAAACGTAACTCATTATGTCCATCTCTTTACAGGCGGCTATTGGATGGACGACCAATGGGAGAACCGAATACTTGTGTGGTGGTTCACTAATTTCAAAGAAATTTGTACTTACAGCTGCACATTGTGCATCAAATGATAATGGGTATGGCCTTCAAATAATTAACAAATACGAATTTATGGAAATTGGTATTTCAGTGTCATTATAGGTTATTTTTTTAGATGTCTTGGAAAAGGTTACTCAAATACCATTGATAAAAAACGGAGGTAGAACATAAATAGTAGGGTGGATCTAAATATCAGTTTTTCTCAACCCAACTCAATCGATTCCAAAGCTTATTTGATTGTGAACTTGTAGTGCACTGGTTCTTTGAAGTTTATGGGGATTACTATGGGAGAAGTTAAATTTTTATACTCATCATCCTAGCCTAGAGTTTGCTATCTGTACTTAGGATAAATGAAGACTTCGACATGCATTGACTGATTTCGGTTTTGGTACGATTTTGGTACATGTCATCATACTGGCCGTCCTCGAAGAAAAAGAATCCCCGAACGCATCCGGTGTTCTTGCTCCCGCCGCTCCGATGGAAGTCGAAGGTGGTGTTGATTTGTTGAGCTGAAAACTCGGCTGAAAGTGTGTTCATTCCATCTGCTGGACAGGTACCTGCTGCCAGTTTGGGATGCGGGTAAAACCTGCATTAAGGCTTCCGTTGATTTCATTCTACTTCCTCACTCCATTTAAAATATTGCTAATTATAATGAAGTTGACATTTTACAGTCGATGAAACATGTTCCAGTTTTCGAGAACAAGGTTCATGGTATCAATCACAACGCATGAACATAAATCACGTTTGCCAGAACTAGATCTTGATTTTCCGAACAGAGTTCACGATTCTATGACTTTTGTTGCCTTTGCTGGCGTTACGATTATTTTGTGGAACAATGTTCACGATTTCATGATTTTTATTCATGATGTACTTTCATAAACGAAAAATTTACTTGTTCGGAAAATCGTGACTGGAGGTTGACGAATTTCGGAACGGATTTTTTCCCGTGTAATACTATTAAAGGCAGTGAAATTCATCAAGGCGCGTTCAAACGCGTTGTGTACACACATGTATTGTGTTAAGCAACTTTTTCATTGTAACATTAAACAACGTATAATGTTTAGTGAATACGTAGTCTAATGTTTAGTTATATCTCATCAAGAGAGGAATTCGTTTTCCGAATAATTTAGATGTAGTAGATGAAAAAGAGGGGGCCTTCCTTAGCTCAGTCGGTAAAGGCGTAGCTGTAAAGCAAGACCATTCTAGAGGCGGCTGTGTTAAATTCCCAGTTCCACTCTAGGATTTTTTCGGGTTAAACAATTTCTTGACTTCTTGTACAGAACGATTGTACTTGCCACACAATTATACTAATTCAAAAAATGGTACAGGCTTAGAAACCTCTCAATAAACAACTGTGAAAGTGCATCTAGAACACTACCGTATACGTGATAATGTTTGCACCATCGAGCAATGTCAAAATTAAAAAAAAATCAAAAATTTCGTTTTCGAGTTATTTTTATTTATTCAAAGGGGGGATGTTTCTTAGAGTCTTTAACTATGTTAATCATCGATCGAGTTTCCACTTGCTGCAATTACGGCCTTCACACGCTTCCGGAATGCAGAGCAGGTTCTAATAATGTAGTCTGGCTCCATTTCTCTCCAGGTACGGGTCAATGTTTGTCTGAGGCTTGCTGTACTCGGTTGGCGTTTAGAACAGGCCTTGGCCTTCATGACGCGCCATATTGAATAATCCAGCGAGTTAAGATCGGGGCTGGATGGCGACCACATATCCTTCACCCAGAACGGAAGATGTTCATGCAACCACTTCTGAGTGCGGTTCGAGGTGTGGCACGGAGCCCCATCTTGTTGAAATACAACATTTGGCTTCGGACCGTACTTTTATTTGATCCACGGAAGAACATACTTACTTAAAATTCCGATGTAGACCTCCGTGTTGACCTTGTCGCCTTCTGGAATGAACACCGGGTCAATTTTTTGCCATCAGAAGCCCCCAATACAAACACCATAGCGCTAGCAGGATGCTTGGTCAGATACACGTTCTTGTGCTCGTCGGCCATGTCTTTTACCGTAAGAGAACTAAGACGGTAAACATGCTCTCGTCGGTGAACAGGACTACCGGATTTTTTCGCTTAAGGAAGTTCAAGACTCGTAGCTCACGGATGCGGTTGGTAATCATGTGAGTTTTTTTCTTCCGCCCTCGACTTCGCCCCGCAATCTTCCTTTACGATCTTCCGTGCCGTAAAGTCACTGATCCCGTGTTCCTTTGCCATTTTCCTTATTGAACGCACTGGATTCACCCGAATCTTCCTTTTGATAACAGCGATAGCCCTCGGAACCCGAGCTGATCTCGGACGACCTGTGGCCACCTTCGCAGATAGTTGTCCTTTCTTTTCTCGGTCTAAAACCCTTTTGACAGTCCACCGAAACACTCCCACGGCGATTCAAATGTCTTTTTGCGACATTTGCGTGTGGGACAAATTACGAATACGCTACCACTTTGTCATGGTGCAACTGTCAAACTAAGTAAATAATTTTCTTTTATACACAGCCTACTACGGTATGAGCTATAGGTTACGTGCATGCAAAGAAAACCAATGCATTGTATGCACAGGTGAAGCGGGAACCTTATTTGTACGATGGTGCAAACATTATCACGCATATGGTAAATAAGTTGCGAACGGGTGTAAGGGACGTTATAAAAAACAATATGAAGAAGATAAATAAAAAACGCAAGAAAAGTAAAGCATACACACTAGAAAAAAAAACTATTTAGCTACGTAACGAGTCATCTTTGACGTAAATCATAGAACGTAAACAAAAATAACATGTACGCAATTAAGTATTCCGAACCCAAAACATACGCAACTCCACAAAAGGTGTGTTTGATTAAATTTATTTTCTTATCTCTTTCGACTGATGCTTATGTGAAAAAGGTCGCTTGCGTGTGGCGGTCTCAGGGCACTGGCATTTACATGACTTTTTTGTAGTGTGTAACCAACCCCCACTCTTAATCATTTATTTTTTTAATTTTCAGAGTTCCACCAAATACTGTTCGTCTTGCAGATGTCGATTTGCGTTTCATTGAGAAAGGTTCGCGAGCTCAGCAAGTCAAAATTCGGTCTATTAGAATGCATCCTCAGTACCGACCATCCAAGAAATATTTTGATATTGCACTCTTCGAACTTGAAACTGAACCATGGTTCGAGAATCTGGTATGCGCTTCATGTTTCTGGTTGGAGGAGGATGTACCTCCAGAGGAGATGGTGGCAATTGGTTTTGGTGCTGAACAATATGGTGAAGGTCCCAGTCAAATCTTGCAAAAAGTTAGCTTGTCGGTAATAGATCGAAAAAATTGCGCTGGGAGACTCCCAGTTGGTATACGAGCATTGTCAAGAGGTCTAGTGGATGCGCAATTCTGTGCTGGTGGTGATAATAAGGATGCATGTGGCGTACGATATATCTATATTTATTTCCAAAAACGCCGATAATGTTTAATACATTTTCAGGGCGATTCTGGTGGTCCGATTCAAGTCGAAAGGGCAGACCTCGACGGAACGCTCGTGCCTCTTATCGTCGGCATAATCTCATTCGGGACACCCTGCTCCAATGGTTCCCTAGGAGTATATACGCGAGTCGCTTCCTATCGAGACTGGATAGAGCAAGAGATTCAACAACCTATAGACTACCTAAGTGAGGCACAGTAGGATCAGTGCATCTATTTTGTCACTACATGATACTTCTTTTCTCAGCTTGCACACGAACTTCATCTTGCCTAAGTAGAAAGCGAGTTCACACTCCAATTGATGATCTAAAGGATCATTTTCGTCCCAGTTTTCGCATCGGTTTACTTTGGGATGCTACCGAGATCAACGACTTTCAATGCGGAGCAACGTTAATTGATTATCGTTTTGCCCTTACATCAGCATTCTGTGCCCGACTGAAGCGAAATCAACCACAGTATATCATCATTGAATCCACAGAAGAGATTGTTGATATTGAAAGTGTTATCATTCATCCGGAATATATTGATGGAATGGCAAAACATGATCTTGCGCTGCTGAAATTAACAAAATTTTTAAAAAATTTCGTAGGTCTAGTACCGGCTTGCTTGTGGCGGGAAACTGGTGAATTCCAGGGAAACGTGGACTTTTCAGCATATGCCATTAAATTAGAGAACAGAGAACGTTACAGTGAAGATGATTATCAGCGACACATAATAAATGTTGCCAGCAATGGAAAATGCATTAATCCAGAAGTCGAACAGGATAACCTATTTTGCGGAAAACATTCATTGAAATTAATCCCCACGGTGTGCCACGTATGTCTTGAGCTCATTTATGGAAGTAAGCTTCTCAATTAATACATTTGTGTATTTTAGATGGATTTCGGTGGTCCAGTATCCAGTAGTTATAATGGCATTGATTATTTATATGGAGTGGTATCCAAGTTGAGTGTAGGATGCGATGGAGAATTAGTTGCAACCAAGGTGTTCCCTTATGTTTCATGGATTGAGAGTATCGTTTTGGGATCATTATAGCGATTATACAGCGGTGCTTTGTTTTGATTGAAATGAAAATATATTAAATAACCATGTGCAATTTTGGAGAAATAATTGATTTCCTTATTATTGAGAAAACTACTCACTCGAACTAAACATCATCTTCAAGGCATATCACGTCAATTGTCAGTGACAATGTAGTCAGTGACGAACATGTGTAGTTTTTGTTTTTATTGAGCATGAGCATGATTGAACACCCAAGGATGCAACTCTGTTATTTCCAAATCTGCTGTAATTGCACAGAGAACCAAAAGACGGTGCTTGGACTAGCATTCATCCTCAATGTGTAAATACTGGTGATCTAAAATTAGCTAATACCAGCACCAGCCACGTCCAAATGGTGGTCAAGAAAGGAATCGGTAGGAATATGTTGACGTAATACTCGCTATAATGAAAGCCGAGAACACCTCTGCACTTCCATGAGAAATCACTGGGATGTTTGATAAAAGTGTTGAGGTTGCAGCAAGATTCGTTTTGGTAATGATATGCTGAATTATATATAAAAAAACAGTTACGATCAAGTTTCCATTCAACTTGTTGTTACTATGTTTCGATCCCGGTGACGACCTCACCAACGACGACAACAGCTGCTCTTGAGAAGAATTTTATATCTATCTCCAATCAACACGTATTTCCTAAAATTATTACTTCTTTTACGTACCCGTTTTTTTCGCTTGGGCTTGCGTTCTAACCCACAATCTTCTGCTCAGCAAGCAAAAACGGTCGCTCTAAGGCCATCGTGCCGCTTACATCACAACAAGCTACGACCGAAAATCGTTCATTATCGGTTACAAGAAGCTATTACAATGAAATGATATCCCCGAAAACAGTTAACAATGTCTTCCAAACCGGATTTGTCTAAATATACGCATTAGATTTCCGAATCGTTCCACCGATTTCTATTATTAACATTTTTCTACAATGGAGGCCTGAATAGATCAACTCAGTAATGTAACAAGGCTTGGGTTTTAGCCCATGATCTTCAATCCAATTATCAAAACCGTTTGCTCTATAGTAACCGTGCTTTTTAAATTACCACAATCTACGACCTACTTAACAAAAAGCTCCCGAAAGCAGCCAACAATGTCTTCCAAACTGCATCAAGCATACACCCTTTCCGAAATTCATGGTTTAAACAATTCAAGTTTTTTCAACTGCGCTTTATGCTCTCGAAACCCAACGATGGCGGTTTATTCTGTTGTGGGAGAGCTTGGGATTAAACCCATGATATTTTGCTCACTAAGCAAAAACGCTCCAGGGTCATCGAGCTTCTAAAACCAACAGCACTCCACGACAAAATATGATTGAGTTTTCGCTTGGTATGTAATGAACCACGGAGATAACCTATAGTTCATATAGTTTCAGCAATAGTTAATTTTGAATAAACGAATGGTACGAAAATACGACGGCAAATACGACGGTGCCTACGACGACGACAATAGTGAATTTGGAACTTACCACCTCCACTGGATCTTCATGTCCGCTATCTTCTTTTTTTCCTTGATTTGTTTTCCGGTGATCTTGTTTTCCGTGCTGAGCACCAATGCTACCGACGCCAGGGAGGCAGCTCCCACACCTGGACCCTACCTATCGACTTATCAACTCATGAACCGGGGACCAACGGCTTTACTTCCCTGTCCAAGGAAGGCGTGATCAGAGATGTATGCCTCAGAACATCCCGGCGGCGCCGACTGGGATTGAACCCAGGCCTGCTGGGGTGAGAAGTAATCACGCTTACCACTACACCACCGGCGCCGCTGGCTCCCGGGAGGCAATCCATCATAACACAATTTCATGAACACTTAAAACACAATTACAGCCCAAAAAAAATGATGTCTTATGCAAAAACATTCATATCCGCGGAAGAAAAACACGCAGCAAAAATAATCCATGTGTAGTTTTTGTTTTTGGTAATTAAATAAATACACTAGAGTCGCTTTTTACGCGTTTTTTTACACGGTTTTTTACGTGTTTTTTTTTACGCGGATTTCGGAATTTACGCGGTTTTTTTTTACGCGGATTCCGGAATTTACGTGGTTTTTTTTACGCGGTTTTTTTACGCGGGACGTATCACCCGCGTAAAAAGCGACTCCAGTGTACTTCCATCAAAATGAATAAGCATCTACGTCCTGAACTACCTGGGTAACATAAATGTGAAGAAGACAGCTGGAGTAAATTCTTCCGAAATGTTCAGAAATCACTTTTAACTATGAAATTGATGGCTCAATAACCAAAGGTGTGAGCCACGTAAAAGATTTGAGAGTAATGCTGGGTTCCCAACGTACAAGCAATATATCTCGAATGTTGTTGACAAGGTGTCACGAACATTGGGCTTCATCTTAAGAATAGCAAAGACTTTCTCCGAACTATACTGTTTCAAATCACTGTACTGTTCCTTGGTGCTGTCCATTGTTCTGTTCTGGGGTCTGGAATCCGATCTACCAGTACAATTATGTCCAAGCCGTTCAGAGCCGTTTTCTTCGCAACGGGCGGAGGAACCTGACTTGAAGCGCAATTTTTTTGCGAGTCGTCAATCAATTCGGACGCGTGTTTCATAAGCTCCCGCCCCGGGGGCCGATTTCATAAGCCGATGAATAAAATAAATTAATATTGTTTTTGTTTTACTTCATTGACCAAGCGTAATTTTTGCTAAAGTCATGAGTGGCGAAATTTGTGCCTTGGACGCCTCTGACGATTCGATAAAAAAAAATAGCCGACAAGGCGCTAAAATGGAGGAAGCCAAATAAATCCAGAAATAGTACACACTCAGAAATAACTAATTTTACACGCATCGGAGGCGAAGCAGCCTAAGGCTGAAAGTCTCCTAAATAAAGCTAAATTAATTAATTAATTTTACACGTTACGGAATATAAAGGATATAAAGGATGAGACGTAAACAAACATGTCATGTAATATCGGAGACTGAAAAGTTCGGTGCTCGACGAAAAGTACGTTTGATTTAGCTATATTTCACGTCTGTCATGACTCAAATTTATGTCAAAATTGACGCTCGTATATGTCACTCTCAGAGCACCTAAATTTACATGAATTTTTCTAAGTGTGTACCAACAACAACGATAGAAACAACAACAACAGTAATTACTCACACAATCATCGGCATCATAACAACAGCAATAACTCCAACAATAATGGCAAGAGCCGCCGAAGCATCGTTTTTCACAGCCGACGATCAACTACAGACCTACAATACGATTCCAACGAGGTGAAATCTTAAACCCGTGTCAAGCGAACGGATGCACGTTTGCTGCATCGACTATCCACCTACCAATACAGTTCCAGAGAGGTGAGACTCTCAATCCATATCCAACTGATGGTGACTTACCACGGCCTACGCCTGGCTCGCAGCCCAACTAGATGCCTACTGGATGCTTTTCATGTGAGGCGTGCTATGTTCAACATACGTGTTTTCGTCCAACTTTACGCACTTTTCAGAGGCAGACCATGACGATCCGGATGCGACTGGTAATGAATCCATAGTTTTAAATATTTTTTCTACGAAACTGACACGCTCCATAGAGGAAGAAAATAACGAAGATCACGACACTTTCCAGAACTAAACAAATTCGGAGCATGGATCAGGGGTAAATAATTTTGATAATAGTTTTATGAATGACAGGTTACGATCAACTTCTTCACCTAATCTTCAGACCACTACAGAAATTTTGGTATATTGCCAAAATGTTAACCGCTTGAGAAGCGCCGGCAAAATGAATGAAATTAACAAAAATTTATTAAGTTCTACTTACTCTGTCACAATGGGATGATAGTATTATATAACGTTCATAGAGACGACCGCAATTTTCAATGGTCTGGTAAAAAAAATGGGAGGAGGAGTATTAATAGCAAAATTCAGAAATCATTATGGCTACTAAATTTAAAGAATTCGAACATGGATGGGTAAAAGCGCAAGTAGCAGACGAAACACATGTCTTTGCTTCGGTATACTTTCCTCCAAACAATGCTCATAAGGACACGTATGATAAGTTTTTTTTTGGGAAAGCGGAAGAAATTTTGTCTAGTTTAGCCCCTGAAGTAAAAGTACGTATATATGGGGACTTTAACCAACGCAATGTTGACTTTATTTCTGATATAGACAATGAAAACATCTTACTTCCAGTTGTTGGGGAAAATGAAACACTCCATTTCATTTTTGCCAAAATTGAAAATTTAGGACTTATTCAAATAAACCATGTGAAAAATCCACAAAATTGTTATTTAGACCTTTTATTAACAAATACTTATGAAGATTTCTGTGTGGCTGAATCGTTAAGTCCCATATGGAGAAACAAAATATTTCACATAGCAATAAAATATTCTTTATTCGTTCACATAAATATTAGGTAATAATATAAGCAATATTAAGAACTGCAGGAAATGTTGAATGTGCAGTTGACGTATTCTACAATGTGTTGCTTGAAATAATACTTGAAAAAGTGCCAACTAAAAAAAGAAGACGTCAGAGTCATGCAAAACATCCGGTTTGGTACAACAGGAAACTGAAAAATTTTAAAAATCGGAAGCAAAAAGCGCACAAATTTTATAAAAAATATAATAATGAAGAAACTTTGGCATAATTTTTAGACATTTGCGATGAGTGAAATTTGGCCGTGAATATGGAATTTATTATTTGTATAATTTAAAAACTGAACTTGAAATAAAATCTTGTCCTAGGAACTTCTTCAATTTTGTGAAAACCAAATTAAAATCTGATAATTTTCCCTCAAAGATGTGTTTGGACGAAAGGGTAGGTGAGAACTCGGATGATATATGCAATTTGTTTGCAAATTTCTTCCAAGAAATCTTTACTACATTTTCAGAAGTGGACCGTGACCGTGAATATTTTGAATCTTATCCAGAATTTTCAAGTGACATCAGCGTAATTCAAATCAAGGTTCATGATATCTTAAAAGGTTTTAACAATTTAGATGCATCTAAAGGTCCGGCCAGTTTTTATGAAAACTGTGTTCCGCCAGTTTTTATGAAAACTTT